AGGACATAATAAAAGTTCCTTTCCCGATTCCCCTTGATGTGGTTGTTCGGTTTCTGCTCTTGCTCCCTGGCTTTCCCGATTCCCCTTGTTGTGGTTGTTCAGTTCCTGCTGCTGTCCCTTGGCTTTCCCCTGTTCTGGTTGGCTGTTTTGGGCGGCTGATTGGGTGTCTTTTAAGCTTCTTTCTCTCTATTTATAAGGGTTGTTTGTAGCAGTTTTAGGGGAGTGAAATGTAGTTATTTTTGGATAAAAACCTGAGGATTTTGGAATAGCTTGCAAACTATTACCTTCTTCTCTTCTTCTTCTAATTTATCTCGGTCTTCTAATATATTTCTTTTACCCATGGTTTACACCTCATTGTATCCTTCTTCTCAAAGCTTTGATTAGTCATATGGTATTGTTGTGTACTTTTATTGAAATTGTAAGGAGTGATTGTGTTTGTTTAAACTATTGTATTGTTTTATTTGTGTTAGTTTTTATGTTTTAAGAAAGGAAGTCTTGTGTCCTAAGTTTGCATACCTAGGCTTTAGCCTTTTTTTTTTTGCATCAAAGATAGAAGGGGTATCACATCTCTCATTTTTGTTTAGAAAAGAAACTCATATATATTTGTTTAATTCACAAATTTCACAATGAAAATATTCATTTTCCATTTTGGATACATATTTTTTAAGACACCAAAAGATAAATGTCCTAATCTAAAATGATGAAGCCAAATAATAGATTTTTTATCAAATAGGGATAACGTATAATAGACATTAACGATACAGCCAATACTATTAAATTTGTTCAACTCTTCCAGGTAGTATAGTCCATCTTTCTCCTTAACAAGTTCAATCTTCTTTCTTGATCCCTATTCCTGAAATAAGCAATAAGGTTAAATAAGACTTGACAATTATGGTCACTAATAAGTTTTTGTATTGAGATTAGATTTGTGAATAATTGAGGTACGTTGAGCACATTTTTTAGAGCGAGAGGGATATAAGGATGCCTCCTTGTCCTGCTACTATGGTGAGAGAATCATTCACAGTGATGATTTTTTTATCACTTGGGCAGGGAGTATAGTTAATAAAGTGGATAGGGGATTGTATCATGTGATATATGGCTCCTGAGTCAATGATCCATAAACATTTCAAATGATTTCTAGAAGCACTTAATCCAATAAAATTAAAAAACTTACATGAAAGTGCAAAAGAAAAAAGATGCAAGTGATTTTTCAGGGGATACCAGGAGTTCTTTTAGCTTATTAGTTTCTTTTTTACTAAGCTCTCAAAGGTTGGACTATGTTTCTGGGATGGGCTAACTTGTTAAAGTGTTAGCTTGTGATGTGCTCTCTTGTCCACTTCTTTGATTCCACTCTTTATTATGGGACTTTTTATGTATCTTCCAGCACGTCTCATTTGTATGTCTTAATTTCTTGCAATAGTTGCACCAAAGGGAGTCTTTGTCTTTATATTTTGAGGAGTCCTTACATTTTTCCTTCAATAATATCTCTTTGGTTGTCACCATTACTAAACCTTCAACAAACTTTGGCTCTAGCTAGACCTGTCAATATTGGACCCGACCCGAAAATTTTGGGTTTGGGTTGACCCAAACCCGAAGCGGGTCGGGTTTGGATCCAAAAAATTGACCCATTTGCAAAACCGGGTCGGGTTCGGATTAACCCGGAAACCCGGGAATGACCCTAAAAACGGCTGCCACATGTTGCCTGCCCCGTCTGCACGTTGCCCCGCGTTGCCTGCCTCGGCTGCCCACGTGACCGTGTGAAGCACTGAAGCTGTGGTCCGCGTCGAATCACATCAGGTCAAGGGTCGCGTCGCCGCCTGCGCCGTTGGGCGTAACGCGCATTGCTTGACCCGCTGCGGCGCTGCCGCTGCCCGCATGCGGCCGCTGCCATGTCCTGCTACTGGAAAATATCGGAGGACCTAACCCGTAGCGGGTCGGGTCGGGTTGACCCGAACCAGAAGAGGATCGGGTTCGGGTCCGAAAAATCGACCCGTTTGTAAAAATGGCTCGGGTTGACCTGAACCCGAATAGTGCCAGGTCAGATCCGGATTCGATCCGAACCCAATCCATGACCCGAAATTGACACCCTTAGCTCTAGCATTACCCCTCATCGACTTTCTTTAGCACGAATGAGAGAAATGTCTCATTTAACGATGGTATCTCCTCTTTGACATGGATCTGAACTCTAACCTAATCAAACCCCGCATTAAGTCCTACAAGAATATCATACTCTATCCTTCTCAATAATTTTTTTTAGGATAGCATCATCATCTGGACACATGGTCTCTATGCATCTGTAGTGATCAAGTTCTTGACACAAGTTTTCAAGGAGAGTGACGTATTCCATCACACGGTCTTGCTTCTTTGTCTTGTGCTTCACACCTTGACCTTAATTTCAAAAATTTGGGCAGCATCCTGAGTTTTTTGAAAATGTTTGTCTGGCGACATCCCATATGTCCTTTTGTAGTAGATAGGAACATGAAAGTAATTTTTGGAGTCACGAAATTCCACAACCATAACATAATCATGGAGTTCGCTTCATCCCATGCCCAAAATCAAGGATCTTCTTTTGGTCCTGCTCCAATGTGGCGATTCATCTTCCCTTTTCCTTTCAAGTAGGTCTTCACAAATTAGGACCACTTCAAATAATTCTTCTCATTTAAGCGATAAGAAGGTTGAATATTTTGGATATCTCCTCTTCAGTTTACCGTAGAATCCTCAATTTGATCGAAATTCAGGAGGGAATTAACTTCAGACATTGTGGTGTCAAAAGATAGCAATGAAGGCTATATTTGACCCGAACCTGAAACGGGTCGGGTTCAACTACTGATTTTCGATCCGTTTCGAATTCTGGGTCAGGTTCGGGTTGACCAGGAAAACTGAAAATGACCTAATTTTGACCCGGGATCCTATTGTTCGGAGTATTTACAGAATTTATCCATGCTTCACAGCGAGCGAACTTCATTGCTTCCGATCAAAATGTTGTAAGTTCCGATCTGATGGGAAGAGAACGTCATCCGTGGAGCGAAGTCGAACAACAACGATGACAAAGAGAAGATAAAAAGAGCAAGTGAGCTCCCGTCGTTGCTTCCGATCAAAATGTTGCAACTTCTGATCGTATGGGAAGGGAACATCATCCGTGGAGCGAAGTCGAACAGCAATGACGAGAAATAGAAGATAAAGAGCGAGTGAGCCCCCTGTCGTTGCTTCTGATCAAAATGTTGTAACTTCTGATTCAATCGGAAGGGAACATCATCCGTGTAGTGGAGCGAAGTTGAACAACAACGACGAGAAAGAGAAGATGAAAAGCAAACCGTAGAAAGGGAGAAAGTTACCTTCACAGCGAGCAAGCTCCCGTGGTTGCTTCCGATCAAAAAGTTGTAACTTTCACCGTCAAAGGAGCTAAGTCGAATGCAACGAAGAACTGAAGGAGCCAAAGAAGCGACTCGTGCAATCTACACACCTCCTGCGGAACAAAGCCGAATAGCAACGACGAAAAAGAGAAGATAAAAATATGCGGGTCGGGTTCAGGTTGACCCGAAACCGAAGTGGGTCGGGTTCGGGTCCGAAAAATCAACACGTTTGCAAAAACGAGTCAGGTTCGGGTTGGGTCAAACAGTCCCACGTCAATTTCAGGTTGGACCCGAACCCGACCCCATGACCTGATTTTGATAGCCCTACCTTAACTTTATTGCCCTAATATAATCCTTCCTACATCAACCACCTAACTATGGAAAGAGATTAACGTGATCCAAGTGGGCCTCCCACGGATCCTCATCCTAGCTGTGGGATCAACTTGCTAAGGGACGGCTGAGATTTAACATTTATAGTAGAAGAGATTTATGTTTGCTAGAATTAATAGTTGGAACTACAAATTATGAGTTTTTCTTTATGCATCTCATCTTTGGTTTGTATTAGTAAACCCTAGATCATAAGACCCCCTATATCAAAATATCATTAGGTATCTAATACTTCATATTTCAATTAAAAATATTGCACGGACTTGATTAACAGCTATATAAACAATGGGAGCATGCAATGAATACAACATGTTCCACTCTAACATGAAAATTTCTAAATTAATCGTAAGTTATATACTCGACACTGATTTTTCTCTCTATTACCTTCTCCTGACATTATAATTTAAATGTTTGACACCATGAAAAAAAAAAAGCAAATTGCTATTCTGTATGTGCGATATTCCTTTTATGTAGTAATAAATACACACCATAATCATGCATACGCATTCATGCACCCATACAGCACAGTAGCATGCAGGCACATGTGTATCACAGTGACTGTTTGTGCAAATATTTATGTTTATATGGTCTTAGGCATGAGTTTCTTGTAGTTTTTCATATTTTGACATATTTTGTATGGAGTTACAATGCACCCCATACATGAGCTGTGCTTAATTGAAGAACATCGCGTTTTCTTAAAGTATTTGCTTATACTAGTTAAAAAAAAAAAAAAAAAACTTTCAAGGGATGAAAAAAGGGGTAAAAACTTCAGTGCGAACGAACTAATACAACTATCAAATAAGTTCTTAGGTAATACTGAATTTCCATATTTAAAGAATAGAAATAAATTATATCTTAGAAAACCGTCATGACACTTGCTCCACATATACTAGCAACAACTTAAACTAAATATATCACAAAAAATATCAGGTTTAGGTAATACAGAATTTCACATCTAAAGAATAAAATCAATTACATCTTAGAAAAATATCATATCATTTGTTCCCAATTTGTTCTCAATTACATCTTAGGCAACCCATATCACTTAAAATCACAGGTTTAATAGTCGAGCACAATCATGTTTTTCTAGACTGAAAAAATAGCATGTAATAAAAGAAATGCAAAAATATCTGAGACTAAGACATTCTAAATAACAGCCGGCAATATGCTGATCCAAATAATTAGGATAAGGCTAATAATGATGATGATGATGATGATGATAATGATCTAAGATGAAAAGACTTTAAATTCTTTACTTACTCGAATCTTCCAGATAATAACAGGAGGTTTTCCAAAATCTTTCAAACTTTATTTTCCAATTTATAAGCACCTTCTCTTCATTTGAGAAATTTTCAATTTTTGACACATCAGGTAATTTTACGTCTTCCTGCCAAAATAAACACATGGTTAACTAAAAATTATGTGATTTCAGGTAGAATCTACAATGCCCAGTCAAGGACAAGAGGATGGAGAGGAAACGATGGTCCCTTGAAACACAAGATACCAATGCTTAAGGCATGTTTTCTGTTCTCTATATCATACATAAACCATGCAGTAAAAGTATGTCTACTATTAATATTTTTTAGCCGAAGCACGCCAAACACAAATTCTAAAAAGCTATACATGAAAATATTGTAATTCCACAACCTTGTAACAATACAATACTGGTCTTAATTACAACGATACAAGGCAGATAACTATAAGACAGATCAGAGATATATGAACATAAAAATTATAAAATATAAAAAGTACACTCTACGAAGGTCATGTCACTTCATCATTAGCTGATACAAATTACCCGCTATTTTTGTTAACGATAGAAAACATATTCTAAATATTTTATTAAGTAGAGCATAAGGCTAGTTATAGATAGAATTCCATGCAATAACCTAGAAAATATTTAGTTTAAAAAATTTCATGAGCAGTACTCAAATTTGTGGCCTCAATGCAGAAAGCTTAGGAGTATGTTGCTAGAGCTAGAGGTCTTTGGCATTTCTTCTGGTGTTCATTCTACCCAACTTTTGCTCTACCATTGTACAATTTTATGCCTTTCAAATATAACATCCCATCTTATTGGCGCATCATATGCATGCATTGCATTTTACAATAGAAAGTTATTTTCTTTTTACAGCTGTGAAAAATAGAACCCCATGATCATCAACATTTTGTACTTTCTTGTACACTACAAATACATGCATTATAATCATGCATATGAAATTTCATGTAACTGAGAATAAAGACTTAGTATCTGTCATGCATCAATTTGACCACTCTCAATCAAGCATGAAACCACTACTTAAACATTGTGCAATATATGGCACATCTTAGCGTAATTATGAGGAAAAACACATCAAGGCACACATCTCAAGGAATATTTTTGAGGCATATGCCTCAGCTTGGCTGAGGTGCACCTTGTGGGGAACTAGTTTGGGTGATCAAGTCATTAATAAGTGTAAATATTTTAGATATCTTGGATCTATTATTCAGAGTGATGGTGAAATAGATTGGAATATTTTTACTAGAATTCAAGTTGGATGGTAGAAGTGGAGGAATGCATCGGGCTTGTTGTGTGATAGAAAAGTCCCCCTCAAACTTAAGGGAAAAGTTTATAAGATGATGGTTAGACCTGTAATGTTTTATAGTTCAAAATGTTGGCCATTAAAAGAGAAGCATAATATTAAGTTAAGTGTTGCATAGATGAGGATACTCAAGTGGATGACAGGCTTTACTTTAGAGACAGGATATGAAATGAGCATATACGTGAAATGGTTGGAGTAGATACAGTGAAAGATACTAAAGAGGGTCTCCTTGATGATTTGGTCACATAAAACAGCGGCCTTCCGATGACCCGGTTAGGAAAGTAGATGTATTAGATTTGATTTATGTTAAGAAAGGTAGAGGTAGACCCAAAAAGAAAGGCAGAGGTAGACCCAAAAAGACTTGGTTAGAAAATATTAGAAATGACACTACTTTATTAGATTTAAATGAGAATTTAACTTTTAACTGGGCACAATGGAGAAAAAATGATTCATATAGCCGCCCCCACATAGAGGGATAAAAACTTGATGTTGTTGTTGTTGACTCCATTTAATTTACATGGCTAACTCTAGTCGTTTCATTATTCAAATATTTTATTGTTATCAACTTTCTATTGTACTGTTTTATAGAAAATAGTTAAGAGGGAAGGAAAATATCAAATCGGGCCATAAGAGGATCCGACGTGAAAACATAACATTCAAGTTGATGTGGGAGGCGACAAGAAGACATGTATTTACTTGAAATGTATTTATTGTGAGAAAATGATGGAGGGTGGTGTAAACAGAATGAAGGAGCACCTATCCATATCCCATTAAGAATGTGGCACCATATGCCAAAGTGTTAGATATGGTGCAAGAGGTAATCAAAGTATATGTGAATTAGTCAACAATGTCGAAGAATCTAACATAGCAACAGTCCGATGACAGATTTGATGTTGGCTCACAATACGAGTGGTCGGGGCTTATCGTCATCATTTAACCCATATCCTCACAAATCACTACATGACAAACTTGGTGGAGGCTTATCGTCATCATTTAACCCATATCCTCACAAATTTTTGATACGACCCTAAAAAACTTGGGGAACTACAACAACATAAGATTATATTGATAACAACAACAACAAGCCTTTATCCAACTATAAGGGGTCAGCTACAAGAATCATTTTTCTCCATTGTGTCCTGTTAAGAGTCAAATTATCATCTAAATCTAAAAAAGAAATGTCATTTCTAATATTTTCTAACCACGTCTTTTTAAGTCTACCTCTACCTTTCTTAACATAAGACAAATCTAATACATCTACTTTCCTAACCAGGTCATCAGAAGGCTGTCGTTTTATGTGACCAAACCATCTAAGGTGACTCTCTCTAATCTTATTTTCCATTAGAGCTACTCCAACCTTTTCAATATAAGATTATATTGACAAAGGGGAAAAAAAAAGATGAGCAAATGTATACATAATCATTTTTTGATTTTGACCCTCACGAGGAAACCTTCAAAGAAAAAAATACTAAGAGCTGCAGCAATAAGATTTTACACTATTTATTTTGACTTTGCAAAGCACATTGGAGGTGAAGTAGCCTTTGAAAGTTATGTTTATGATAGGAAGGGCATGCAGAAATTTAGGAAAAGCCTTGACTGAAATATGATTTTAGCAATTTCAGAAAGTCAACGACAAGAAAATCAGGAACAAAATACACAAGAATACTTTTTTATTGAAATTTTTATGAAAGAAAAGACAAGAAACAAGTGGATCTTCAATTGGAGAGAAAGATCCGACTCTCTCAAATCCCTATCCGATGGCTAGAGCCCTCATAACCTAAGAAATTTTAATTTCAGCGAACTCAAAACATAATCCTGAAATCATCCTATAGTTAATCTTAAATGGGCTCCGATAATTTCCTCCCAAATCAATCCCCTTTCTGATGGGGACATCAGATCATGGAAGGTTTATCAAAGTAGTGGCCGCCGATCTACGGCCACGATTGAGTCATTGTATATTTATTTCATGTATTTTCTTATTTACGATGTCGTATTGTATTTGTTTTATTTAGTTTCCCGATGTACCCTTTTATTAAGGGATGTTGTATATAAGCCCTAAGGGCGTTATCATCTTTTCTATTTTTGAGTCTTATGTACGAGGCTATTTATAACCCCTATGTTTCTCTTTGCATGTTAATGAATTATTGAATGATAAAACTTTTCCCTCTTGTTTGAGTTCTTCGGTGAGCTTGAGAGATATTGGAGCGAATCCCTTGGAGAGGGAATTTGGATCACCCACCAACCTTGGAGACGGCCGGGTTCGTGATTCTTCGCCTTTATCGAAATTTCCTTTTCTCTTCTTCATCTAGCCGCTGGCCTCTGGAATTCACCCATCCTTAAGCCGCCGGTCACCAACCCTCTTCCCCTAACCGTCAGCCTCACCCCCACCAAAAACCCATAGAGCCTCCAACCTAGCCGCCGGCCCCTCCCACCTTCCCTCCTATTTTCTTATTTCCAAAATAGGGATTGAGTATGACTAGGATTGATTTTGAAATTCAAATCCAAGAAATTTGAAATTCAAATTCTTTCCTAAAATATGAAATCTATTTTTGGAAAGTCATTAACCTCATCCAAATCAATCTTCAATTAAAGAGGATTTAATTTCTCTTTCCTAATCTAAGTTCCCAATTAAATCAAGCCATAAACACTTGCCTTAAATCCTTCCCTCACCCTTGTTGCCGCCAACCCCTTTAATAAATCCCATGGGGATTTATTTCCAAATCTCTCAAAACTCTCTTGGAAATAATTCCAAATCTCCACGCCCACTCTTGGCCGAAATTTCCAAGCTTTCACTTACTTGATTTCTTTCCATAAGAGAACTTCTCCTTGTGGTAAGAAATAAAACCCTTCCCCTTCTCAGGTCCGCTGCCCCCCCCCCTTCTCTTCCTTAATTAATCTCAATCAAAGATATTAATTGAGGATTTGTTTCCAAGTTACTTTTCCTTCCACCTATTTGTTAAAAATCTGAAATAAAAAAAAAAACTTTTAACCTTGCTCTCCTCCCTTGGTCGATCCCTTTCACCTCAACCCTACTTCAAGTTGAAGAGAAACTTCTTTCTCTTCAACGACGTTCGAGAGTACTAGCCACCCTTGGGAAGAAATCATCATCTAGCATTCATGAATGGCCGATCCCGACACTGACTACGGACTTGCCTATGACGAGCACGGTTTCGTAAGCATTCTCCATTCAACTTCGACGTCAACCTGAGGAGCGACCATACGGTTGAAGACTGCATCGAACGCATCTTGGATACTTTGGTTGAAGCTATTGAAGAGCAATTAGAGATCGTCGAGTGGAGGATTGCAGCCGATCCTTAACGAAGGTTTTCTACTCCTTTTCTCGTGTTTCTCAAGTCTAACCCGCTCTTGTGATTTGATTGCAATCACGAAGAACGCATTCGTCTGATTCTGCTAAGCTTAGTAAATGTAGGAATTTGAGTGCATTCATTGTTTACTTATCTTATTGTTAGACTATGAATTTTGTTGAAACTACTATCTTGGCATGATGTTATTTTCTACATTATTCTGAAGCTTCAAATCTTTTGATATGCAACTTAGCCTAAACGGTCGTGATCCCTCTTACATTTTGATTCATCGTTTTATTTGCTAATAGATTTCTTTGTTATTTCTCTAATCAAGAAGTTGTGCAAAATCTTAATAAAATTATTGCATTCATCGTAGTTCTACATCACTTTTCTTAAATAATTCCCTCACAAATTTGAATTCAAAATATATTTATTTTAACCTAATTAATTCAATCTCAATTATAATTAAAACATTCCTAAATAATCCCCCTTAATTTGTCCTCCTATTCCCTAAATAATTCCCTCTTAAATTTTGAATTAAAATTATATTCTCTTGCCTTAAATAATTCCCTTCCAATTGTAACTAAAATATTTCTAAACAATTCCCCTTAGATTAAAAACCTTCCTAAACAACTCTATCTTGATTGGGAAACTTCTTAATTTCTATTAATCAAATCAGCCGGTCTATCAATACTCCTATCCCAAAGTGCCACATTGTCCTCAAGATGGAACGAAATAAACTATTGTTGAAGCACTTGACTGAAAAATGGACTGACACTAGGTCGAACGATCCTTTCCTCAAGCATCTCATTAACTAATCTCTCAATCTCTTTGTTTTGAATTTCGAGATGAAGATACAAACGAATACTGATAAGTGAGACTCCTTCCTTCAAGATGATAGCATGCTCACATTCCTGCGGAGGAGGAAACCCCTGAACTAGTTGGAACAACACTTGATATTGTTGTAGGAGTGGTCGAACTATATATGGTGTTTCTATCTTCTACCCATCTTCTTCTCCTTCCCAACTTTTCAGCTCCACCAAAAATCTCACTCCTTCACCCTTTCCCCTCCTTGGAAGTGACTCCAAAGATGGCATCTCCTCTTCTTCCCCCAAAATTTCTACCTCCTGATCCTCTCGCCTTCGATGTTATTGGTTGGGTGTGAAGCTCCAATAATTTCATTATCATTCCTTTTAGGTTGGAAAACTTTTCCTCCATTGATGTCATTATATCCTCAAAAGCCAATTTAAATTGGCCAATTTTTTCTTTAAGATGCTCTTCCAAGGTTCAAATTTCTTTGCAGTCATAGGTCACAAAAAAGTGCTCTGATACCAATTTGATAGGAACTGGATACAATTTCCTTGAAATAAGCAAAATACAATAAGAAATTAGAAAGAAAAATACATCAAACCCATTTTTATTGAAAGATATATGAAAGAAAATAGTAAGATACAGTTGGATTTTCAATTGAAGAGGAAGATCCGGCTCTCCCAAATCCCTAGCCGGCAACTAGAGCCCTCACAACCTAAAAATTTCTAATTTCAGCTACTCAAAACATAATCCCGAAATCATCCTACTGTTAATCTTAAATGGACTCCCATAATTCCCTCCCAAATCAGTCCCATTTTCCTAAATAATTCCCACTCAAATTTGAATTCAAATTAAATTTATTTCCCTAATTAATTACCTCCCAATTATAATTAAAATTTTCCTAAATAATCCCCTTTAATTCATCCTCCTCTTACCTAAATAATTTCCTCTTAGATTTTGAATTCAAATTTAATAATATTTCCCTAAATAAAGCCCTCCCAATTGAAATTAAAACATTCCTAAATAATTCCCCTTTGATTAAGAATCTTCCTAAATAGCTCTCTTTTGATTAGGAAACTTTCTAATTCTATCAATCAAATCAGTCGGTCCAACAGTTTACTTCAACACAGTAGCAACACTGCGTTTGGGCAAGAACATTTGAGTGAAAATAAGTTAAAAAGATTGTTTTGAATGACAGATTCTAGCATAGTGTGTTTTATGTTATTATAACAATCAGGCCACTATTGCAAGTTTTGATGCTAATGGATACTAAGAACAATTCTATAACGGATTTCATATATTATACAATGGATGAAGCAAAGGAGTTGATTGCCTAACTTAGAAGGAGAAGATGATAACTCTAGGAAATATTGGGATATTATTAATGAAAAATGGGAGCTAGAACTTCATCATCACTTACATGCAATTGACTACAATCTAAATTCTCAGTTTAATATGCAGAAAATAAATCGATACAATTTGACATAAAATTGGGATTATACCATTGCATGGAAAGGTTTATAGCAGATTCATCTGAAAGAGCAATTGTTGGCATGCAATTGGTACTTTTCATAAATAAGGAGGGCTTTTTTCGACTACAACAGGTAAAAAACAAATTCAAAGTGATCTCCTGGTAATTTGATATGTTTCTTTTTATTAGAGAAATTTTATCAATCAACATAATTCATTCTACTTATTATATTCATTTTCTAATACCTCAGTTGCGTGGTGGATACAATTTAGTGATGACAGTTAGAATTAAAACGTTTTGCTTTTAAGATTTTGGGATTAGCGTACTAATATGGATGTGAACGCAATTGGAACACATATAATCAAGTTTACACGATGAGGAGAAATCATTTGACAACCATAAGAATGAATTCCTTGGTGTACATCAAGTATAACAAGAGACTAAAGGACAAAAACTTGAAGAAAGGGTTGAAGGATGACGATGATCCTTTGCTCTGTGAGTATATGATATCCTATGATGAATGGTTTGTAGATGTACATCATTTGAATTACAATAAGAAGATTTGAACATTAATTTTTTTATGATAATTGAAGATAAGCATCTGCATCCACCATAGGTCATCTACAAAAAGACTTACCAAAAAAAAGTATATAAAAAAGAATTAAAATTTTTTAAGCTTTCTTAATTTGAAGTATTACTCTCATCTTTATGTTGATCACAAATATTTAGGGAAGAGGATGATTATTGATATAGAAGAAGAAGCACATTGTGAGATATTGAACTACACAAGTGATGACAAAGGAGAAAGCAATTTATTACAATGACGACTCAAATAAAGACTACCTTTGTAATGATAACGCATATGACTTTTGAGTTGTTAACATCCCATTACTGTTTTCTTTATAAATTAAATGTGGATGAGTAGGAAACTAGGTAAGAAAGAACTTAAGAGTTGAACTTTATGTTATATGATACTTTTATGCAATTCTTATATTGTATATTATTTTGTGATGTTTACATTTCTATTTTATTTCATGCGATTTATCACTTGTCACTTTATGTCTTGTGCAAATTTTTTATTTCATATTTATGCAAATTTATAACTTCATAATTCAATAGAATATTAATGTTATTCATTAATAAATTATTTAGTTATTATACAAAAAAGCCTATTCTAACCTTTATTTTCAATATACACAATTTTTGAATTATGAAGCTTATGCCTTGCCTCATAGATGGTAGGCATCTTAATATCTAATTGCGCAATTTTAAACCTTGCATGAAGACATGGCAAAGGTAGGCAATTCAAGGCATTTCCCACCAGCACCTATCCTAAATTTAACTAATCAAGACCAAACGGGTAGAAAAGTAGCCTACCTAGATTGCTCCACAACATACAACAAACTTTTCATAATCATCCAATAGGTCCAACTCATCCATTTATATGGAAGCTTATAAAATTGAACTCATTAAATGAACTACAGAACATCTAAAAAACTTCATAAACAATTACCACATACAGAAATCTTTAATTTATAATTTTATATCATGCATTCATGCTCGTTCTTCTTCTATGATAAACCCTAAACAATATATCCCAAATCATAGGTTGAAGGACAAAATTTGGTCACCTTACCAAGGCCAAGCATGCTCCCTTCCTTTACTGAATAACCATTATAATAATATATGATGAGCTAAAAAGCTCGGTAGAATAAACAAGTCTAATATAGAAAATACATACAAGGAAGAGGAAATACTATGTATGCTGATATTTTAAACTTATATGAGTATCCAAGACCATAGATATGATCAGCTCAATGCAACATCATATTAAATAGAATAGATACAAATCCACAAGCCTTTTGTAAAAATAGAAGAGAAAGATATGACTGTTATCTCATAAATAAATAGAAGAGAAACAAATCCACAAGCATTTTAAATTTAGCTATGCAATTCCAAGAATCCTGAGGAGCTTATGGACAAATGACAAAAGCAAGACGACAGGAATGCAGTAAATAAAAACCTTTATAAGCACGGGCCATGAAAACCCTAAGACAAGCTAGTACCTAAAATAGTAAAATTAGTATGCGTGCATACATTAATTACAAGAAAACTGTGGAGCAAGGATATGGGCATATAACAAAAGCTCGACATAATAGAGAACACGGTAAATAGAATTTAAAAGTATAGTGCACAACAATCCTCTGAAAAGTGAACACTAGAAATATTATAGATCGTTGTCTCAGGATGTTACACATAGACCATATGTCATTATACATTTTCATGTTGTCAAGTACGGTACATAAAGTTGAAAAAGATATCAAAACTAAAATATTGAAAATTAATGAGAATGAGATTAACAATGCCTAATAGGGGGTAATACTATGAGTATTTTGATTTTAAAATGGGTATAGACAGAAGATGCGACAAAATGGCCTGTTGTACATGTGTTGTGTTTAAGAGTCCAAACGCCAAGGAATGTCCACGCTTCAGAGCAAGAAGCAATAAAATGAACTAATGCAGAGGTAGAGGGAGTAGACAGCAAGTATAACAATAAGAAAAATTGCTAATGCATACATGTCAAACTTTTAACAGAAACAGACGTAATATTTCAAATAAAATCATAATATCAACTAAAAGATATATAAGTTTGCATGACAAAAATGAACAAAAAAATGTTGTTCATTTAGATTGTTCTTAATAAGTTCAGTTAGAAGGCTTTCAAGTATTGTTTAGGAAAAAAATGCATCTATAGCTATATAGCTTTAAAGATTATACAATGAATAAATTGAATGAACTTATTAAAATAAGCTAGGCCAACTAACCGGGAAAGGGATAAATGGCTCGTGCTTTGCCATCCTAAACTCAAAAGATCCACCCCTTCCACGCCCTCGGCCTCGACCCCCTCGAAATGCCATCTCTAAAAAAACAATAAAAAGAATATAACAAAAGATAAAGCATCAACAATAAGCTTAAATGGTGCAAGAGAAAGGAGAAAAATTAATTACAAGATAGTTAAAAAGAACTAAATATATAACTAGTCATGAGACAATAAATGGCTCCATCACCAATCGATTTAGGAAAATATTGAAGACATTATGCTAAAACATTCAACTGAATGAGTTAGTATAGATTGGCAAGCCAAGATTCAAGAATTTATTATTCTAGCAATTCTAATGTCGAACTATTACTGCCTTCTTAGAAATTAAATTCAGCTAAAAGGTACAATATTTTAGCAATATTGCAGTTATATTAAATATATATATATGCAAGAAGCAGGTTGTGAAGGAATCTTAAGAAGCTTATTGAACCCGTTTGCGCTTCAGGAGCAACAACAACTTTAAAGAGATGAACAGAATCAAAGAGCCTGAGAAGAATATGTACAACACAGATTTGACATATTTGTGTTGTATAGATGATATAAATTTTAGGAAAAAAAAACTTGTTTGTAATCCCAGATTAGTTTCAGCAGGCATCCATCAGTAATTGATTCAGAATCTCACTTTCCTGTGCACTACAGCTAGATTTCTGCTGTAACTGACATGACATTGACTGTTTTTGCTAATCTTGCCACACAACGTTGAGCAAAATTGGTCGACCATCATCAATATTTGCTTCATATTAAACCAACGCAAAGTGTTTTTTCTTCATATATATATATATATATATATATTGAAGGAAGTTAACTTAAGAAACCAATAAATTCTTATGGGATAGTTCACACCTTCAACACTTCTAACGAAAGAAGATATCCCCAACTCTTCTCTGAACAATGACAATAAACTCTCATTGTTTATCTTATCGTTAAACTTTTCAAACGAAAAAAGAATGAGTGGAACCACTTATGAAAGCATCATTAACATAAGAGAAAAATATTCCATATCACTCATATCCATTATTCCAACTTAATGTGTATATTAAGAAGAGAAAGGTATTCAATGTCATCTTCATTTCCCATTCTAATTCATTATATATGTTGACTACAAATCAAATATTTAATAAAGTTAGAACATATGTATAAACACTTGTAATAGCAACGACATCGGTGAAATGATATAGAAAAATTTAACAATACTACAAGTGGTTTGCTAGAAGAACATCATGCCATCCTTAATGCTTCGTTGCTAGAATAGAGTAAGAACCAAACATAACCAAATTTATTAACAAATGTCTCTTCAAAGTAATCTATCATCTAGCAATCAAATGGACAAAGAAAAGCTAAGCAACAAGCACTGATGATAGGTGTATTATCAAAGTCCTAGCAACAACAAGTTAAAACTCGATCATTTTACCGGTGTGTTGATGATTAGAGAATTAGACATAACATTTGAACTTCATAACTAATGAGCAAGAATAAGAAATAGAGGGAAGAGAAGGAAGAAGGGTAGGAAGAGTACAAAGGAGAAGAAGAATGGGAAGGAGAGGAAGAAGAAGAAAATAGAGAAGAAGGGGAAAAAAAGAGAGGAAGCATGAAAAAAAAGGAAGAAGGAGAAGAAGTGGAAAGGAGGATGAAGAAAATACAAGAAGAAGATGAAGATGAGAGGTTTAAAATTCTCCTCAAAGAGAAGATGCTCTCCAACATTCATACACCTCAAACATTTAAAAAAAAAAATTATGCCGAATATTCTTCTCCCACGCCCTCACATGAGACAAAGCATGCCACCTTACATGTATTTTCATTACAATGGGTTAAGAATGCATATGATAAATTTTACAAAGATCTCACATTCCCTTCCAATCAACTCAAGATACCTCTCAACAACATATAGCAACCTTGCATAATATCTATGAATGCTCATAACTTGACACAAAAGGTACATGAAGATCCTCCCATAAAGCTACCAACTATTCCACAATATGATTTCAAACAAATACATAATGTTCTAGATTTCAAGAATGCATATAACTATGTGATGTGAATCTACTAGGAGTTACTCGAGAAATTAAATGAATAATTGATCAAAACTTGCTAATATAAACTTATCGTTTGTAATAAAGGAAGATTTCGGAATTCAAAACATTCAACTTGCTTAGGCAAAGAAGCGCTCTTGAGATTAACCAAACAATTCGATCAAAATCCAAAGATGAAAGTAAATGTTACATGCACATAACAAAATCCACCACTTAATAACGAGAGGTTCACCTTGAGTACCTTTTCACTCAATCACTCTTGGGATTTAGCGGAGAATGACGAACCATACGAGGAAGGAGATTACCACTAGGAAGATGGAGTCGAAGACCTTTGTTGATGGAGAGGTAGCCGGAGGTGGAGGAGGTGGTGGGTGACCGACGATTATCCAACGGCCCGGACGGATGTGCTCTTCGATCGACAGCGTGAGTTGTTATAGGATGCAGTCGATGTATCCGTCGGTAGTCTCATCGTTGCCAAAGTACACGTCAAAGAACGGGGATCCAAGAATATCCGTCCTTCCTTGCTCGTCAAAAACAAATATGTGGTCGATCTCAGGATCAGCCATATATGCTTGCCTTGAAGGGTGGGAGTAGACAAGTAGGGAAGAGGGGAGGAGGAGGTAAGGATTGAGGAGGAGGAAGAGGGCCGGCGGTTTGGGTGATGAGGAGGCCGACGGCTTGTGGGAGAAGGGAGTGATTAGGATTAGGGTTAGGGGATTTTGTTTAAGTGGAAATTCATTTCAGGTTTAAGTGGAATTGGAGGGAAATTAGACTTGAAATTAAATTCAAATTCAAGTAAGGTTTAGGGTTTGAATAGGAAAACAAGTTAAATTCCCATTAAAGGAGGGCCAGCGGCAGCAAAAGAGAGGAGGGAGGGATTGGGGAGGAGTTAAATAATTTCCAAACAAGCTATGACAAATTAGGAGGGAGAAATATTAAATCCTCTGTAAGTTAAATTTAGATTGCATTCAAATTTGAAAACTTTCCTTATTTAGAATTTGTAAATATGGAAAGTTTTTTAAATTCAATTTTGAATTTCAAAATATTCTAACTCCTTCCTTTATTGCTTAAGCCAATTTAGAGAGTCATTATGATGATTGGAATCACCATAATGACTTGGGACAATGATGGGGCCGACGGTCAAGGAGGGAGAGGGTGGGCTTGGCGTCGGGTTAGGTGGCCAAGGGCTAGGCCGGTGGATGGGGTTTTGGGAGGGGAGTTGGATTGGATTTAAGGGAGGTATTTTGGTTGTGGGATGATGGTGGAAGAATGAAGAGAAGTTGGTGGGTGATAACGAAGATAGAATAGAGAACATAGACGAAGACCACGAGCCACGGACTCTTCCGATGACTGGTGGGCATTGCGCTTGCCCACACGTTGGGCTCTCTCTTCCCTCTAGTGGCACTCACAATAAGAAGAAAAAGACAAAATAAAATTTCATTTAATCATTCCTCCTTTTACAATAGATGAGGCCTCAATATATAGGCCTAAAATAAAAATAAAGAAAAGACTCAAATGCCCCTTGGTCTACAACTCAAATAAACTCAAGTAAAAGGGTACAATCGGAACTAGAAAATAAATATAACATAATACATAAATGCATCAAAAAATAAAGACTGTAAATTGTAGCCGCCGATCTACAATTCTTACGCCGATAAACTTGTTGATAACGTCTGTCGATATCCTCATCACTATGCGATCATTAGTTACGATTCTCTAAAGACAAATATGCTCCAACCAAGGCATAGATATACATGTACTACTCAATATTGAAATACAAAGCACGTGAAGTTATCCAATATAACTATAAACCTTTGTATCAAACATCATCTTAATGCTACAACCCATGATGCATAAGAAGATTTTGTATCATGACCATACAATTTTAACCAACATCGGAGCATGAAACACATAAATACTTCTTTGTTTTAATCAATATCCATTTTAATATAACTTCACTTGCTAAGAACCAAGGCCAACCCTATGTTTCAATATTAATTATCAAAGAAACTCATACCCAACAGACGGATTGGAGCAAAGAAGGATGACCATGTTCCTCTCAAACAATCGTATCATACAAGGAAAGAATTCTTTGAGGAGAATTTTAAACTTCTCAACCACAGTGCTAAAATGTATTTGTCACACACCTAAAATTGACAAGGAAATGACAACCTTAAGCAATGCCTTTCAGATTTTGCTTGCCAAAATGGTTGATAAGAGAGACTTAATAAATATACAAGATAACTTGCATTAGCCAAATACATTCCAGCACAGGTAACATTTTCCCACTGAACTTCTTTTAAGAAGAGAAATGTGTTGCAACTAGGAAAATTCAAGGAATGAAGGGTAAATAAGAGAGGAATTATAACTTCATCTTTGCATTCTTGAAAAGAGCCGATCCCCCTTTACTTAAAAATAAAAAAACAGAATCGTAATCCCTCATTATTCCATTAGGATGTGAAGAGGCTAGACACAAGACCGATTAATAATCAGCAAATCTGCCATGAAAACTAAATCAATCATAACGAACAAAATCTCTGAACTACCATTCTTCCAATCATTGAAGTATTTTCCCCAAGACTTCAGATAAAGAATACAATCTTATGGCATGATAAAGAATATTGCATCCATTTACGATCCCTAGGGGCTGATTGGTATCGGATTTATTCGTGGGATTTAAGTCGGATTTATGCTAAATCCAGCCAAACGGTTTTTGCGCGGGCTTAAAATCCCGGATTTACGGATTTACGGCTTAAATCCCGGATTTATTAAATCCCTCGGTTCGGCTTAACGGCAGAAGAAGCGCCCGAAAGGGAGAGAGTTACCTTCAAAGCCAGCGAGCTCCCGTGCTTGCTTCCGATCAAAATGTCGTAACTTCCGATCCGATAGGAAGGCGTCGAAGGAGCGAAGTCGAACAGCCACGAAGGAGCCGAAGAAGCGACGCGTGCAATCTATACACCTCCTGCTGAGCAACGAAGCCAAACAGCAACGACGAAAAAAGAAGATGAAAGGCAAACTAGACGCCTCTATGTTATTATTGATTAACTTAATTAATATAATTTAAATTATTAATAATTAAGTAAATTAAAAAATAACTAATTGTATAATTAGTGCATAAATTAATTATCTAGTTTAACTTAAATATTAATATAATTAGCTTAATTAATATAACTTTAAAATATATATTACTAATTATATAATTAATAATGTTATTAATAATTAATAAATACTTTTTACTTAACATATTATTAAATTCATAACAAATTAATTTTTATTTTTAATTATATATTTATTTTTTAATTTATAATTATCTTCTTCACATTTAAATTTCTAATTGTCATAAATCTTGAAATATCTCGAGATTTAACAGGATTTAATATTTAACATATTAAATAGTTTTCAGAATTTAACACATTTCGAATTTACTAAATTCAGATTTACAGTATTTACTAAATACTATTAAAATTAAATCTCACTTGTAGTCAAACAGTTCTCAAAGAGAGCAAGATGAAATAACACACGAATCCATGTCATGTTTAATGCTTAACAAGAGTTTGAACCCATTCATATTAAGAAAAACCTCGCCTCTGCTCTCTGGTTCTGAACAGAAAAGGGCCTAATGATCTTCAAGATCCCGCCGAAACCAGCCACTAAGGCCTATTTAACCTAACCAAGAAGGCTGAGATTTAAGATTGGGTTAGGAATGAATTTGAAAACTGATTTGGCTAAGTTGATTTGAGCTAAATTACTCCAATTTGATTCAGGTTAGGGTCGGTCATGTTTAATTAAGTTGATTGAAGCAGACGAGCTTTAAATCGAGTTCGGTTCGAGCCAAACAGGCTCGATTTCACTCGTTTGAATTTATTTAATTAACAACCAAATTATTTTTATGATAATTTTGGGTGCAAGTCGAATCAAAAATGACTCGACAATGCTCAAATAAATTTATTTGATTATTAATCAAAATAATTCTAAATAAATTGAGCTCAATTGGCTCAATTTAACTATTGAGGATGGCGTCGGGGTCAAATCAGGCTCGAATCTAAACGACTTCGATTAACTTAAACTTGACTCAATATGAAACTTACTAGCGACCGACAGGTTGATTTTGCAAGCCAAATTTGAGGTCAAAATTATTCGACTCCAAATAAGCTCAAATTAAACACTTGAAATTTTGGATATTAATTGATGACTAGCTTATAATTATTGATCTCAAAATATTGCACACTTATAATCAAATCGAATGTCTCGATGAGATAAATCCAACGATCCTAAGATTAATTCAAATGTTGAAATAATACTTTATAATTTGCAACCAATTTGTTTCAAATAATCTTAAATTTTAATTACATTAAATTTTCTAAAATAATATATTATTTTCTTAAGGCATGCTTCATGCCAATTAAATTAAAAAAAGTTGATGCCTATACATATTAAAAAAATTGATGTCCCGATTAGACTTGAATCCATCTAACATGATGTGTACCAATTTAACTCATTTATTATATGAATTACATTTTTTTTTTTATCAATATGGTTCATTTAATTCAAATACGACCAATTTAACTAAAAATGATATGTTTAATTTGAACCTAACCATTTTACCCTACTAGTATTTTGGTTAATTTTTAATCAATTTTTGTTGCGGGTTAACCCAAACCTGAATCAAAATTATTTAAGATAAGCTTTCATATCGGACATGACCCAAGATTTTATGAGGTCAACTCAAACTTAGTTTTTTTTAGTCAATTTTCATATTAAATTGTTGTATTTGATCATTTATTAGCACCTCTAAGATTCTAATTATGATCATTCAACTATTGTTGCTCGATTACGATCATTTGTCCATTATCACTTGGTTATAGTCCCCTAATCATAATCATCTTCTCATGATCTCTTAAAGACTTAAACTATTGTCTCCCTGCTACATTTTCATAACTATTATCACAAGTCTACACCAACACCTGTTGACTTCATCCCCCAATATTGCAAATTACGTTGACATATATTATTGCCTATAAGAAGATACATGCATTAATGATTAAATTAAAAAAAAAAATAGCGCTTATATTATCATTAAAATTACACAAAATTACCCACATTTGTTTAGCTTGGTTGGCAGGTGAGAGCGGTTGGGTACCCCCAACTCGTATCCAATTCCACTCGAGCGTAGTGCTTCTTTAGTGAGGTACAATTAAATGCGGGTCAGAAGGTTTCTGTGGTTGGTGTCTCTTCCAGGTCAGTCGAGGATTAGTCGCACCGCCAAGCGCCTCATAAACTGAGGTGGTGACGGGTGGATACCCCGTTCCCAAAAAATAAATTAAAATTACACAAAATTTAATCAAATATTTAAATTCAATTATTTCATTTTTTAAATGTAGATTAGGGGATTCGATCTAGTAATCGCTGGAAGGAACTACTACCGTAGACTAGGGGTGCAAACGAGTCGAGTCGAGCTCGAGCCAGGGGGTGTTCGAGTCGAGCCTGACAATCAAAACCCGAGCTCGAGCTCGAGCTCGAACTCGAGTCGAGCTCAAAATCCGAGCTCGAGCTCGACTCGTCGTCAAATCGAGCGGCTCGTCGAGCTCGCTATCGAGCCCGTCGTCGCGCCCGTGACGGGCGGCCCGGGTGACCGCGTCCCGTCGACAAATCGAGCCCGTCGTCGAGCTCTCAGCAGACAAGCCCCGCGTGACCTGCGGTCCGCGTCCGAACGCGCACGATCCCGCTCTGGCTGGTGGCAGCCCGCGTCCGCTCCGCGGTCCCGCCTCCGCAGAGCACAGCCGCGCGACTACCCCCCACGCGTACCGATCCCGTCACGGCCGGCGTAGCCCGATCCCGCTCCCCGCTGGCGCAGCTCGCTGGCGCAACCCGCGGCCTCCCGCAGACGCGACCCGAGTAGCTCGACGAGCCAACGAGTCGATCAGCCCAGTGGTCCCGAGCTCGAGCTCGTTTAGCATTCCGAGCTCGAACTCGTGTTCGAGCTCGACTCGCGAGCTCGAATAAGCTCGGCTCGTCGAGCCGAGCCGGCTTGACTCGGTTGCACCCTCTACCGTAGACCAACCTGTCCGCAACTACAAGAAATTATTAAGTGCGGAGTCCGATTATGTCCGAATTCCAATAATAATGTGACATGTGCCCTCGTACATAATGTGTACAGCATAGTACAACGCTATATAAAAATTACAAATTATGATACAAATATATATAAATTTATATACAAATGAACATCATGTCAATTTTTTATTGGAGTCCGGACTCTACATGTAATAATTTCTCCCGCAACACGATCCCATTATTTCATAAATTTAATGCACCATTAATGCTTAGAATATTAGTATTTGATGATATGAACCAATCAATATGTAAAGCCAACTAATGAGTAATTATTTTTAATAATTTCAAGAAGTTTTACAGTGATGAGGCTTTATTTTAGGAAAGTCCGTTTAAAAATCCGGTCTGGGCGCCATCCATTTCTGCAAGCCTATTAACTTCTCCGAATATTTGGATCAGATTGCTTATATAATCGAAACTGGAAAGATCAAATTGTTATCGGATTATTCTGTTCAGCGAGGAAAAACTACCAGTAGAGGCGTTGAGTGCTTGCTCTTGGTTATTGATATCAGAGGATTGATCGTCGTTTTGATCATCGAAGAAATTCCGGAAAACAACTTTCGCTGCGCTCTGGTAAGCGTTAGGGTTTAGGCTTTTGAATCTGATTTCCGTTCTTGACTTATCGGTTCTTCTTTATAATGTATATATATTTTACTCTGAATAGAGATTGTAGATTTGATACTTCCACAAGATTTAATTTGGATGGACGATGCAACAGTCTACTATTTTCTTCGTTTTTTTATCAACAGTTTAGTTTACTTCTCCTGAAATAATGAAATCCAATTTCTTTGTGAAGGGAAGGGATCTGTGTTTGTGGCAATGGCAATCGCAATGGCGGACGCAAAACAGTCGCTGGATTACTGGAGGAAGTATTTCGACTGCGCAAAGTCTGATATTTTTGATTTGATTCACAACGCAATCCTCATAGCGGCGGTGGATTGCCCAAAGGAATTTAAGAACAGAAAGAATACGATTGTTGAGAAGCTTTACACTAGCCAGCTTTCCCTCCGTAATGGCGACCATGAACATTCCTCGGAGAAGAAAAATAGTTGCAACTCTGGCAACTCCAAGGAGAATAATCAGATGGTTAGAGAGGTGGTGAGGTTAAAAAGGATCCTTTCCGATAAGCGACTGTACGAATCTGATTCTGATGTCGTCTTGTATGAATCACTGAGGAGTCTGCAGTTGATGCAATTATCTGCAGAAATTCTGAACTCAACTGAAATCGGAAGAACAGTTAGTGCTCTGCAAAAACACAACTCCAGCCAAATTCAAAAGCTTGTTAGGAGTCTGATTAATGGCTGGAAAATGTTGGTTGATGAATCAGTAAAATCTGGAGCTCCAATTGTTGAAAATATCACTACTGATTCTATTAACAATCTGAAAAAAACATCAATAACTGATTCTAAACTTGGGTGCTCATCAAAGTTAACTTCGGAGCAAAAACCATGCAATCATTTATCAACTGGAGTGAAGAGAAAGCATCCTGAGGAAGTTTCAGAAATGTTGAAGCTAGAGGTTGCAAAGAAGAAGCTTCGTGAAGGATATCAACGAATAGAAAATGCAAAGAGGCAAAGAATGATACAAATCATAGAGCCAATTGATCTTCCAAAGCTCTCCCATGAAAAAAGAAGATCAAGAAAGAAGGTTGGGAAAGATTCCTGGAATTAGACAATCACAACAGAGCACTTTATATGTACAAATGTTGCTGAAGCTGTAGCTGCATTTCAGTCCTGTGATGAAAATTTTCCAAATTAGTATCTGTTCCGTTTTCATGATATGAAAACTCATTGCATGAGCACCCATTGCTGAATCCAGTAGGGATTATTGCTCGTGGAGTCCGGAGGCCACATGCGTCCGGATTTTATGAGGGTACGTAGCAAA